TGCCCTCAAGTAGTATAGATTGTTTTCCCTGACACCTCGCATCACCACCTTGCATTCTCCAAGATCACCCAATAGCCATCTGCCTCCAAAGTTCCAAGTGAAATAATGTTCTTCGACACATGAGGCACGAACCTTACTTCCTTCAGCTCCTGAGTCACCCCGTCACACATACGGATCCGAATTGTACCAATACCATTAATAGGGCATACGTGATCATTACCCATAAGCACGATATCCCCTCTTTCCAGCTCCTCAAAGCTGGAGAACCAATCCCTCCTAGGGCAAATATGGTATGTAACACCAGAATCCATCATCCACTCCGTAGAGTCAATGTAACAAACTGACAGTAATGCTGAGCATGAAAAGTCTGAAGAATTCGTATCTGAATTGTCATCACTAGACTTGACAACATTCACTTTCGAAGCTTGTATAGTTTTTCCTTTATTTTTCCCGGCTTTGTCCTTCAACTTTGGGCAGTCGATCTTCCAATGTCCCTCTTCTTTATAAAAACGACATTGATTCCTACCAATACTCTTATGGCCACCTCTATTTTTCGATTTTGAGCGGTTGAACTGGCGGCGGTTTGGATCACGGCCTCGAACTTCTAATGCATCTCCCGATACCTTCTCGGAGGGTTCACCATCACTCTTCCTTAACTCATAATTTATCAACGCTGAGGTTACCTCCTTATAACTAATAATAGTTCTTCCATTGATCATAGTGAGAATGAACATACCATAATCATCCTCAGGCAACGAACACAAAAGTAGTATCGCCTTGTCTTCATCCTTAACCATGATGTCCACATTGGTCATATCTGAAAGTAGCTTCGTGAATTTGTTTACATGCTCCCTAATGGAAACTCTCCTCTTTATCTTGAACTGGTAAAACCTCTTCTTCAAGTAAAGTCGATTCTTAATGCTCTTAGTAAGATACTTCTCATTGAGCGTTTCTCATAATCTCTTCACCGACGTCTCGTTCATAACATCATAAATAAGATCCGGTGTCAAGTATGACCGAATAACTCCACAAGCCCTACTGTTCATCTTCTTCCAAACCTTATCCTCCATGTCTTCGGGTTTCTCTTGTAACTCAAGAGTCTCCTCCAAAGTTTGTGCATGCAAGGCATCCATCACCTGACACCTCCACAATCCGAAATTGATCTTGTCGTCGAACTTATTGAACATCAATCTTTGTATTATTGATGCTTAGACTCTGTATCGCCTTTGAAAGAGATGATTCCGATGTGCTTATTTTACTCATGTTGTCGATCTAACTCTTCAAATAGGAATCATTCAGGGAATCCTTCAAACAAGCTCCAAGCCTAACCTATAGCTCTGATACCACTTGTTGTGTGCTGCTGAAATTTCCGCTGCGCACAACGTTTACTTCATGGATTCGGAGATTGTCTTTAGTGGATTCCGAGGCTACTCTTCCGCGCTGCGTCAAAATGTTGTGTCGTTTGAGGTTTAATTAAGTGATGATATGTATACATATAACAGTAACACTCGGTGCATTTACTTTTATGACACGAGTAAATCGAACTAGAGTGATGTTGTTAGCTGCTCCTTTGGCTTCAGCCAATTTCATGAATGTTCTTTGTATGATATCTCGAAATTGGCCACCTCTATTCTTCGATTTTGAGCGGTTGAACTGGCGGCGGTTTGGATCACGGCCTCGAACTTCTAATGCATCTCCCGATACCTTCTCGGAGGGTTCACCATCACTCTTCCTTAACTCATAATTTATCAACGCTGAGGTTACCTCCTTATAACTAATAATAGTTCTTCCATTGATCATAGTGAGAATGAACATACCATAATCATCCTCAGGCAACGAACACAAAAGTAGTATCGCCTTGTCTTCATCCTTAACCATGATGTCCACATTGGTCATATCTGAAAGTAGCTTCGTGAATTTGTTTACATGCTCCCTAATGGAAACTCTCCTCTTTATCTTGAACTGGTAAAACCTCTTCTTCAAGTAAAGTCGATTCTTAATGCTCTTAGTAAGATACTTCTCATTGAGCGTTTCTCATAATCTCTTCACCGACGTCTCGTTCATAACATCATAAATAAGATCCGGTGTCAAGTATGACCGAATAACTCCACAAGCCCTACTGTTCATCTTCTTCCAAACCTTATCCTCCATGTCTTCGGGTTTCTCTTGTAACTCAAGAGTCTCCTCCAAAGTTTGTGCATGCAAGGCATCCATCACCTGACACCTCCACAATCCGAAATTGATCTTGTCGTCGAACTTATTGAACATCAATCTTTGTATTATTGATGCTTAGACTCTGTATCGCCTTTGAAAGAGATGATTCCGATGTGCTTATTTTACTCATGTTGTCGATCTAACTCTTCAAATAGGAATCATTCAGGGAATCCTTCAAACAAGCTCCAAGCCTAACCTATAGCTCTGATACCACTTGTTGTGTGCTGCTGAAATTTCCGCTGCGCACAACGTTTACTTCATGGATTCGGAGATTGTCTTTAGTGGATTCCGAGGCTACTCTTCCGCGCTGCGTCAAAATGTTGTGTCGTTTGAGGTTTAATTAAGTGATGATATGTATACATATAACAGTAACACTCGGTGCATTTACTTTTATGACACGAGTAAATCGAACTAGAGTGATGTTGTTAGCTGCTCCTTTGGCTTCAGCCAATTTCATGAATGTTCTTTGTATGATATCTCGAAATTGGTTACCAGAAGAAATTTGCTGAGGGAGAATGTGGATTGTAGCGTGCATTCAGATAGTTATTGTTTTGGCAGGGACGCAAAGTTTGTAGCTATTTTGGGTTATCATGTTTTTCTGGTCAAATCATTTTAAATTTGCAAATAAATTGATCGTACAAGGGCATTTGGTCTAGTGGTATGATTCTCGCTTAGGGTGCGAGAGGTCCCGAGTTCAATTCTCGGAATGCCCCGAGGATTTATTTTTTTGGGTCTGTTTTCTTTTATTTCATTGTTGGTCGGCCTCATTTCTTGTTGCTTAGATACATCAAGAGTCACATACAATTAATGACTTGGCCCACACAAATTTATAGGGTCGTCAGAAGTAATATCTGAGTTACCTGGTTCACTAGCATGACGTACGTAAATTAAATCGAAAAATTGCCGTTAAGATTCTAAAATCATTATAACCTCTCTTGAATCATATAATTTATTAGACCCTTATTTAAAAAAAAATGTAATTTAGACGATGTCATATAATTTAGTCGTTAACTATCGAAGAGTTTGGAGGTGTTTCTGATTATGAGGAAGATGCAGTTGTTAGGTTTTACACTGCGTTTGAGAGTTCATTAGGGGAAGGAAAAGGAAATGTAAAATAGGGAAAGGAAAGATAAAGAAAAGGAGGGCAAATATAATATTTTGTTTGGGAGTTTAGTAGGGGAAGTGGGGAGAAACTTAGTTCATCATGCACTAGGAAGGTCTAACTAAGTGAAAGGAAGGGGAAACGATGATTTTATTATCAAGTACGAGCAACTGATCTCATAGTGATAGATAGTCAAATATTAAATAAAATATGTTTACTTTCACTACCCTCCTCTACACCCCAATTTGGAGGGGAACAAAACCACAAAATTTTTTTATGAAAATTTTACTTCCCTTACCCTCCCTTACTTTCCTTAAAAAAAATTAAAAAGCTCCCAAACGGAGTTACCCTTGGTTACGCCCTCATCCAAACGCACTGTTAGGTGAAACAGGATGTGAGTTAAAACCTATTACCAAGTGGGCAGGTGTTTATTATAAATGAGGGTATAACTGGAATTTCATCTCAGACGTACCGTTCGATTCCCCCTCCCACGTTCACCGGATATTGTTAGAGTTAATGGTGGTTAGTAAAACGGTAAAACCTGGGTTTTACTTGGTTGGGGTTGAGGTCCTGTTGATGATCAGTTCTCTTCGGGGGAGTGGGTAGATGATAATAATCTCGTGACGTCTCTGCCCAATTAAGGATTGGAAGGTGCTACAGTCACACCCCCAACCACACTCCTCTTTCGTTACAGTGCACTGGGGCCCACATGAGATTTTTTTAAAAATTCTCATGTGGGCCCCAGTGCACTGTAGCGAGAGAGGAGTATAGTTGAAGGTGTGGTTGAGGGGGTATGCCTCTAGCATTTTCCTTAAGGATTCTGAAGTTCTCCGGTGCACGAGATGTTTGCATTACAGTGTAAACCTGTCCGTAAAAAAGTATTTTTAACATCTTAATAGTTAATACTAATATGAATAGATACTTACAATAATCTTGCCAAGAATGATATAAAATATCTTCCTATTAGAAAGCGAGCAAAATTGACCTACACGGTACCGCGGTATTAGCTCAGGTGTTCGATTTAGAGGAAGGTCGAAAAAAGTATTCACTGAGGGACTAATGAGCAATTACTAGAATTTGAGGGACTAATATTTCAAAATTAAGGGCTAGCAAGAGGGATGAAATTGCAAGAGTATCAAAAAAATAAAAATAAAATACCGATCCCCGAGTTTTCAGACAGTTGTATCCTCAGCGGGGGTGATAATTGTCATTATCATATATTTATAGCGCGGACAATTTTTCACTTCAGCTTCATTTAATTCTTTTATTATTAAAATCAATCTTTTTTTTATGAAAACCGATCCGATTTCTTGATTAGCAGCTTAATCACCTTCCTAATTAGTCGGGGTTGGCAATCCCGACTATTTAAGAGGATGTTAAACCCTAATAAGAAGCCTTAAACCCTAAAAATTAATGTCCTAAATAGTCGGGGTTGGCAACCCTGACTAATTAGGAAGATGATTAAGCTGCTAATCACGAAATCGGATCGGTTTTGGTAAATAAAAAAAAAGGATCGATTTCAATAATAAACAATTAAAATGGGTCTGAAGTGAAAAATTGTTATTATAGCGCGGAAGCTTCGTCAACTTACAGATGGAGCCAGATCATACGATTTACCCTAGTAATAAATCCCACTGCGATGGAAGTCCTTTTTTTTTAAGGCTATAAATTCCTGGGAGTTTGGGGAGCAGCCAAAAACCCCAACCAACCAAAGAGAGCTCGTGTCACGTTGGAGAGCCAAAAAGAATGGGTTTGACTTCCAAGATCACCACCACCATCGTCTTCACACTCTCACTCCTCTTCACGCTCTCATCTTCAGATTCTGTACCCGTTAACCCGAATCCGAAAGAGCTCCCATCCTTCAAGGTCCAGCGACCCCAGGTGAGCCCAATCATCGGTTTGTTCGATATCTTCTCTTGAAAATATACCAATAATTAAATTTGATCATTAAAAGGTATGATTTTTTTTTGGCAGTTGTTGTCGAGGGGATGCTCGTATACAGTGACGATAAAGACGAGCTGCTCTTCACCGAGATACACCAGGGATTATATTAGTATTGCTTTTGGGGATGTTTATCGCAACGAGGTATTTTTGAAATGATACTAGTCTTTCTAGATCGATGGCTTAGTTTTTGGGTTAATTAGATTTTGATGGATTAGCAAAATTTTTTTTGTTTGGCTAAATATCAGAAAATCCCTTTTAACTTGGACGATTACCTGATAACCGCTCATAACGTTTAAGATATCGGATCCCCCTTAGGGGATTATCAACAAACCCCGTGCTAAACTTTGAGATTTTATTGGAAAACCCACCTAACAGCCGTTTACCACAATTTTTCATATGAGTGTGGTAAAATTTGATAAGGGAGAAATAACATTGCTTGATCGTGAAAGAGTCCAAGACTCCAAACACTAATACAAGAACTAGGGGTGCCCAAGGACTTTGTCCTTGTATCAAAACTCTAAAATTGTAGGCGGAACCCCTTTTTATGGGTTAAATCTAGATTCTACGGTATCTATGTTTTCTAGATCCGCTTTGAATTTGCGGTTAGTGAGATTTGAGACTGTGACATAAGTTGTTCTGAAATCATGTCAAAGAACATTATCGCTACACAAAAATAGGATTGAGGGTTATAATTTTACGGAGAAGGTATGTTTGTAATTAACCCTTGACGATTGGACCAGGTATACGCGGCGAGGCTCGACGATCCATCGAGCGGCACATTCGAGCGATGCTCGACTGACACATTCAAGATTCAGGGGCCATGCGGGCACGGTGTATGCTACATCTACCTCCGCAGGCAGGGAAGGGACGGCTGGATGCCGGAATCTGTGACGATCACCGAAGTCGGCTATCACAGGACTAAAACATTCTACTACGGCACGCCTCTCCCGAATTCGGTCTGGTACGGGTTCAATAACTGCCACAAATTCGTCGCTGGCGATGCCGGAAATGTGGCTGAGGGTGCCGACGGTGGTCTTATTTCTCGGATGCAGATGTAGATGGATATTGCCGGAGCTTGGGGTTGTGTTGTTATGTTTTGTTGTTGTGAACTTGTGATCTGTGAGGTTGTATCATGAGTTTATGTTATTTTTCCTGTTAGATTGAGTGTAATCTAGCATGTTATATTGTTATTGTTGGATGTGTATTATTAGACTCTATTTTAAAAAAATGTAATTTAGACGATGTCATATAAGTTTGTCGTTAACTATTGAAGAGTTTGGAGGTGTTTCTGATTATGAGGAAGATGAAGTTGTTAGGTTTTACACTGCGTTTGAGAGTTCATTAGGGGAAGGAAAGAAAGAAAAGATAAAGAAGAGAAGGACAAAAATAATATTTTGTTTGGGAGTTTAGTAGGGGAAATGGAGAGAAACTTAGTTCATCATGTTAGGAAGGTCTAACTAAGTGAAAGGAATGGAAAATGATGATTTTATTATCAAATATGAGCAGTTGATCCATGGTGATAGATAGTCAAATATTAAATAAAATATGTTTACTTTCACTACCCTCCTCTACACCTCAATTTGGAGGGGAACAAAACCACAAAATTTTTATGAAAATTTTACTTCCCCTACCATCCGTTACTTTCCTTTAAAAAACTCCCAAACGGAGTTAAGTATTATTTTTCTCCCTTACCCTTGGTTACGCCCTCATCCAAGCACATTGTTAGGTTAAGCAGGTTGTGAGTTAAAACCTATTAGCAAGTGGGTAGGTGTTTATTATAAATAAGGGTTGTAGGCGCCAAAAATTGCCTGTAGGTCCTCGCACGGGGCTCGAGACAGAGAGAAGATGATGAACGTCGCTATCCGAGTTATAGAAGCTCATTTGACATCGACAAGCACATGAAGTGAGTCGATGAACCATGCGAAGCAACGAAACTTCAGAATAACGAAAACATGAACTGGTCGGGAGCTCCACACCGCTTACAAAAGACGAAGTGCTCTTCATATCCTATCAGATCCACATATGATCCAACTATAGGAGCTTGTAGATCTTCTTGTCGGCTTTCCTACACACTTTGAATCACGTAATTTTGAGTTCAGACGGCAAAGATACGGCGAAAACGGACAGAATACGCGAAACAATGCTCTAGGCCTCAGCGAGACACCCTCAGGTGTCTCGGCCAGGCCAAGACACCCACGAGTGTCCACACCCCCGAAAACCGATTTTTGGCAGTTTTAAGCTGTTTTTCGACGTTAACCACTTGGATTTGTTCCAACTGATCTGAATCTATCCAAGAATGTGATAAAAGTGGTTACAACTGAAGATAAGAGTGAATCGGTCGTTCTTATCCGAAAACAGAGGTCCCAAAGCCTATAAATACAGCCCTAGGGCCTTCATTTTTTCAGATCTAGAATTCTCGAGCGTCGGCGAAGCCCTGCTGAATTAAGGACTGAAGAGCCACGAATTTCAGAGAGGAGGAGGAGATATCAGCGAATTCTTCGGCATAAAGAAGAGGAGTTCGTCAGATCTGTAGCCCGGTTCTTTTTCTTAAGATTACCCCATTGCGGTGATCTCGAGAAGAGTGGTTATCTCGCTGTTGTCGAGATAATTGCTTCGGTTTCTTGATTCCTTCATGAATCAACGAAACTCCGGATTAGATCTAATCGTTCGGTGGTCCATGGATAAACCCCAGCACAAGCAAAGATCCCATGTAAGCAGCGGGTGATAAATGTTCGTTACGTTTGTTCGAAAGAAAGTTGTAATCTTTTGTTGAAAGTCTTATAAAAAGAATGTTTCTTTGAGTTTGTTGTAACGCCTAAAGTTATAATGAACTCATCAATGAAAATAATTTTCTCCCCAAACAAGCTGGCGACCACAGTGGGAGCCAACAGTCTCGTCACCGAGGTTGTCGTGCCGCAGCTGACGATCAAGATCTCCGTGGCTAAAGAGGTCGAATACGAGTTCGACCAACAGAAGTTTGAGGAGTACGTCTCCTCCTCCTCCTCCAGATCCGCCTCTCCTCGCAAGCGCAGGAAGGTCTCCTCCTCCCGGAAGATCCGCTGGTCTTCAGATCTGAAGACTTAAGAAGGCGATCTCCCCGCTACCGCTGCTGTAGTTGCACCTCGCAATGATCCGCTGGCGTCCAATGAAGCAAGATCTGCAGATCTGAACTCCTCTTCGATCAAGGGGTCGATTGCCGAAGGCGCGCCAACTTTATCAAAGAGGGCAAGTCAAAGGCAACGCCAACGCCTCGCGTGCTAATTCGTCAAGGCTTTGGATCAGGGGGACAGACTCCGTTATCAAGCGGATCTGGAGTTCAGAAAGCACCAAGTAGCTAAGCTATCGCCACAACAAGCATCGGGATCCTCCTCCCAACCTCCAATTAACAAATGTGTTCGTGTCAAACGAACCCGTTCTACTCTCGAGGAGCGCATCCAGAAGCATCACGCACTTCTTGCGCATGCCCAGATCCTTGTGCAAAAGGCACGAGAATTACAAAAGGAAGAAGGGGTCAAAAAGCCACCAAGATCTAAACATGTTTAGGTATCAAAGCCCAAGACAACGCCTAAAACTGCACCGAAGGCAGTTAAGGCGTATCTACCTGATCCCGCTCCTTCCGCTCCCGTACCTTCGGTGGAACCCTACGGCAGTGTAGATCTCTCCAGATTTAAAATTCTGTTGAGGGATCGTCTAGGTCCTTTACATGAAGATCGAGGCAAAACTCCTATTAAAGAACGCCTGGGCCCAGTGAATGAACCCCGAGCAACTCAACGAGCTGGGGGTCGCACATGCCCTCATGATAATATAAAGCCTTCTCATAAGGAGAAAACTCCAGTAATCGACTGCATCGGACTACGAGTCGAAGTCCAAGAGCCCGTTGAGGTCCCGCGCCCACAAAAGCGTGGCTCTAAACGCATGACTCTTGAGAACACCAACAAGGCAGCAAGTCCTCAGAAGGAAACGTGTTCGTCAGACGATCATGTTATACCTGAGAAGTCGTGCCAACACACGATAGATTGCTCCGGTCATCATGCTAATGAGTTGTATTATTAGGCTGGGGATACAAACAAATCTCGAAAGAGAAGTACCCGGGAGACGAACTTTCATTGTCCGTGTGTCAAACTGATCAGGGTAGTATTATCAGGATGTAGCTGCCCCAAGATTGCTCCACAGAGGGTCTCGGTATTCGAGAGGATCTACATTGAAGCATCGAAGCTCAAATCAAGGTGTTTCCGTAGAAAAAGATCAGCTGCGCAAGATGACAAACTCCTAGAAGTCACCATCAATATGGTCAATAAAGGGAAGTCAACACGAAGTTTTATTCCCCGTTATTTTTCGGACGTATCCCAACGTATAACTCGGTTACGCATGAGAACTACCTGGCGTAGGGATTTGTAGGATCCTGTTTTTGCTTATGTATACCAAGTGTAGGATCGTGACCCTTAAGAATAAAATGCGTTCTTATAAAATCTGTGGAAGCTTTACACTTAAACACTAGAGGGTGAGTTTACAAAGTAGATTATAAATTGTAAAGAAAGAATGGCAATCTCAAAAAATGAATATCACAAACATAAGCATGTATACTGGTTCCACCTTCCCGGTGTACATCCAGTCCCCAAGCAAATCCCGCTTGAGAGTTTCCACTATGATTTTGAAACCTTACAAAATCAAAAACAAACCTGACCAATTTGCAAGACCATGCAAATTGCAAACCTAATTAACAATACCATGACAATTGTTAAACCGACCTCTAGACCAAGAGATCAACCCCTCTCATAAACCGAGAGAACCTTTCTTTGAAGTAATATATAATTCCAATCCTATAAGCCTTGATGTGGATGTGAACGTGTAACAGTAGCTTATCAATCTTTTTAACTCTTTGAATATTACCTAAACAAGCTCTAAGAATGATAGGAACAAAGACAATATTAGAAACTCTCTTTTATAGAAAAATATATTGAAAAACTAAAAGTTTTGAGAGTTAATTTGCACAATATGTGAATCTTATAAGTGCAAAACTTGGTGCTTATTTTCTGATGTTTAAACCTATTTATAGCCTCTGAAATGACATAATTTTAAACCCAATTAATGTCCACAAAACGGCTATAAACAGTCACTTTTTTAAAACCTAAAATCTGAAAAAAAAATTGCATCTGTAGTCGACTACAAGTCATAGTAGTCGACTACACTGAGTCTAAACAGACTCTGTGAAGTCAGAAAATTGCTTAATAGTCAACTACAAGGCATAGTAGTCGACTACACTGTAAACTCACAGATTCTAGAATTCTAGTTTTAGTATTTTGGCTGTAACTTTCTCATCCGACCTCGGAATGAGGTGATTTAAGATTTGTTAGAAATCTGTTGAAGAGACCTACAACTTTAATCTTTTAAGTTTTTCCAAATTCGAACTGCTATGGGGGTATAAATAAAATATTTTAAGACATACTCAATATCTATAAACTCTAATGACTATAACATAGGGGATTTCTATTGTTAACCAACACACAAAGCATGTGTTAGTGTGTTCTAACACTATGTGTGTGCATGTGTGTGAGTGATCAAGGCTTGTACAAATTTCTAAGCAAAAAAATGTAAAATTACATTTTAACAATAAAGTATATCTTTTTTTTTTCTTTGCTTCATTTTGCCTTGAACTCATCTATGTCTTGAGTATCTCTTTGAATATAATTTTTGACATAGCTCTGATACTGCAAAACAAATGTTAGCACATAATACACACAACATATAATATTTGTTATCATCAAAATAAACTAATCTTGAGGTCAAGATTCCTAACATTCTTCCCCTTTTTGATGATGACAAATATATGTTATTAAGATATAAAATTTTTAATCCCCCTGTATAAAATCATTAAATAAAATCTTTTACTCCTCCTGCATCAAATCATTAGTAAAAAATTTAAAATTTTCTATATAACTCCCTTTTGTCATTAGCAAAAAGCAATAAACATAATTCTAGCTAAAATTTTCTTTTCCCGGATACCTTAATAAAAATATTAAGTACTTTGGTACCCTTTTATATTTTATCATTAGGATTAGCCCTTAGGAATCCAAATCTACTTGGAATTTGGTTTCCATTTATTAACATAAGTATAATTCTTTGAATTGCAAACTTCATACATATAAGATGAAATATAATCATTCCTATCATGAATATTCAAATTCTTAGGAATCCATATATACTTATTTTGTGTAGCATGAATATTCTTATTATTATTCTTCAAAACATAATCATGCTTTGTAAAATACTTAGGAACAAATCCAATGCCAAAATA